GGAGGAGGAGGAGGAGGAGGAGGAGGAGGAGGAGGAGGAGAAGAAGAAGAAGAAGAAGAGTATTTTTTGTAAGAGTTTTAGAGCACTTGCAACACAATTAGGTCATGTAAGTGCTGAAGATTAGAGGTATTACAAGAGAGTAACAAACATTAAAAAGAAGGAGGAGAAAGAAGGATGACAGAGTTTTATAGGAAAGAAGGAACAAACCACACTAAAGCACCCACTAACCACTCACAAAAAATAAAAAATAAAAACAAAAACAAATGGACATAGAAAAATCACCCATAAAACAAACACAACAACAACGAGCAATAACAACAAAAAAACCACAACAAAACAACAACAACAACAACAACAACAACAACAACAACAACAACAACAACAACGACAACGACAACGACAACGACAACAACAACAACAACGACAACGATAACGACGACAACAACCACGCCTAAAAAGGACACGTAGATGTAAACAACAGCAGTAACAAGACAAACGAGGAGAGCATGGCTAGAGAATAAGCCAAAATAATTCAAAACCAAGAACAGACACAACAAATAGGAACATAGAAAGATCACTCGCCAATCACCCATCAATACAACAAAAACAACTGCAACAAGAACAGCAACAACAACAACAACAACAACAACAATAACAACAACAATACCAACAACAGCCACAACAACAACAATAACAATAACAACAGCAACAACAACACCAACAACAAAAAATAACAACACAGAAAGAGTACCTGCCAATCATCCACCACCACCACAACAACAACAACAACCACAACAACAACAACAACAACAACAACAGCAACAACGACGACAACTACAACGACGACAACAACAACAACAACAACAACAACAACAACAAAAAGAGCACAGGTCCCCTACCCCATCCGTGATTGTCGACTCTACCAACTGATACATCTCAGAGTTTGGGTTCTCGTATTCAGAAGTGTAGTTGAGATCGCCTACCACAACGACAGCAACAACAACAGCAAACAGAAGAAACACCTGCCAATCACCCACCAGAACAACAACAACAACAACAACAACAACAACAACAACAACAACAAGAGCACAAATCCCCTACCCCATCCGTGATTGTCGACTCTACCAACTGCTACATCTCAGAGTTTGGGTTCTCGAAGTTAAGAGTGTAGTTGAGACCGCCTACCACAACGACAGCAACAACAACAGCAAACAGAAGAAACACCTGCCAACCACCCACCACAACAACAACAACAACAACAACAGCAACAACGACGACGACAACAACAAAAACAACAACATAAAAAAGAGCACAGGTCCCCTACCCAATCCGTGATCGACGACTCTACCAACTGATACATCTCAGAGTTTGGGTTCTCGTAGTCAAGAGTGTAGTTGAGACCGCTCAAGATATGGACGTCGATTTCTACAGCTTTCGTAAAAGCTGTTGTCGTTGTCGCTGTAGTAGTTGTTGCAGTGGTGGTGGCGTTGGTCACTTCTGTGGTGATGTTGAGGGGAGAGTTTGTGTTCTCAGAGGGCGTGGGTTCGAGGGTCGTGAAGTTTGTTGGGTTAGTAGTAGTGGTGGAAGTCAAAGTGAGGTTGTTAGTGGTAGCGTTTTCGAGCGGGCTGGAGGGATTCTCAAAGTGTGCAGTAGTGTTCTCAAAGTGTGCAGTAGTGTTCTCAAACTGTGCAGTAGTGTTTTCAAAGTGGGTAGTAGTATTCTCAAAGTGTGTAGTGGTGTTCTCAAAGTATGTAGTGGTGTTCTCAAATTGTGCAGTAGTGTTCTCAAATTGTGCAGTGGTGTTCTCAAACTGTGCAGTGCTACTTTCAAAGGGTGGAGTGGTACTTTCAAACGATGCTGTAGAGTTTTCATACAATGCAGTGGTATTCGGAAACGGTGCAGTAGTATTTTCAAATTGTGAAGTTGCATTCTCAAAAGGTGTGGTGGTGTTTTCAAATGGTGTAGTTGTATCTTCAAATTGCATTGTGTCATTTTCAAACATAGCAGTCGTATTCTCAAAGTGTATAGTGGTATTTACATATGGCACGGTTGTGTTCTCAAATGGAACAGTTGTGTTTTCGTATATAACTGTAGTATTCTCAAACTGTGCGGTAGTGTTGGGGTATATTTCAGTAGGAAACGTAAGCATGTTAGTGGAATTTTCATATAAAACGGTAGAATTCTTAAAATGAAGAGTAGTATTGCCAGGATACATTTCTGTAGAATTTGCAAAAATGTTAGTCGTATTCTCAAGCATAGAAGTAGTATTCCAATACAAAGTAGTCGTATTTTCAAACTGAGCAGTGGTATTTTCAAACTGAGTAGTGGTACTTTCAAACTGAGTAGTGGTATTTTCAAATAGAGCAGTGGTATTTTCAAACTGAGCAGTGGTATTTTCAAACTGAGTAGTGGTATTTTCAAACTGAGTAGTGGTATTTTCAAATGGAGCAGTAGTGACTTCGAATGGGGAAGTTTTGTTTTCAAATAAGACAGTTGTATTTTCAAATGGAACAGTTGTATTCTCAACAGGGAAGGTGGTATTTTCAAATAGGATAGTGGTGTTCTCAAATTGAACAGTAGTACTCTCAAATGGGATAGTAGTATTTTCAAATGGGATAGTGGTGTTTTCAAACGGAGAAGTGGTATTTTCAAATGGGATAGTGGTATTTCCAAACGGGGAAGTGGTATTTTCAAATGGGATAGTGGTATTCTCAAATAGGACTGTTGTATTTTCAAAGAGCACGGTAGTATTTTCAAACGGCATACTGGTATTTTCAAAGGGAATTGTTGTATTTTCAAATAGGGCCGTTGAATTTTGAGATGGGATAGAGGTTTTCTCAAACTGGACAGTTGTATTTTCCATTGGAACAGTGGTATTCTCAACTGGGATTGTTGTATTTTCAAAAAAGACAGTGGTATTCTCAACTGGGATTGTTGTATTTTCAGATAGGACTGTTGAATTTGCAAATGGAAAAGTTGTATTTTCAAATAGGGCAGTGCTACTTTCAAAAGGGACAGTAGTGTTTTCGTAAGGAACCGTGGAATTCTCAATTGGCATAGTGCTGTTCTCAAAAGGCATAGCGGTAGTGTTCGGGGTGAAATAATCGGCAGATGACGTCATTATTGTTTGCGTTGTCTCATTCGGCATAGCCGTAGTGTTTAAAATGAAAAAGTCGGCTGTTGACGTCATCATTTTCTGTGTGGTGGCCTCATTCCCGATGAATGTAGTGTTCTCATTGGCTATTATTGTCGTGTTATGGATGGACGGATTCTCAGAGGTGTTATTTACAGGGGAATTTGTGGTGGTGGTGGAGGCTGTGGTGGTTGTGTTGTTGGCGGTGGTGGTGGTGGTGGTTGTGGTGGTTGTGTCGTTTGTGGTGGTGGTGGTTGCGTTAAAAGCGAAAGTTGTTTCATTTGGAGGGTCAGTTGTGCTGTTGTTGGGAACGGTTGCTGTTGCTGCTGCTGCTGCTGCTGCTGTTGTTGTAGTTGTTGTTGTGTTGGGTGGTGATGGCGGGGTGGTGGTTGCTACAGTTGGTGTGGTGTGTGATGAAGATGAAGAAGATGGTGATGATGGTGATGATGGTGACGTTGCTGAGGT